ATATATTACATTGTAATCATTTTAATACTAAAATAAGAAGAGAAAAACAATTTACTTTATTTAAAAAAATGGAGACATTTTTTTTGAAGATGAATGCTCCTTCAAGTTGAACAATTTAAATTCTAATAATCTCAGTGGTATTTTTTTTAAAGGATAAATTTGCAATGAATGATGATTGTTGACATGTGGTCTATATATAACCTTTTACTTTGTGCCTACCTTTAGTGATGGTGGAAGCCGGCCAGCCTTGTGTTCCCTGCTCATATGAAAATGATAGTTTGTAATTCAAATCACCCAACAAAAATATTTTGATAAATATGACAAATTGTTTGCTTATGTTTTTTTCCTTTTCGGTTCAGAGGCACATTTGAGTGTGGTGTATGAGTTTTTGGCAGGGATTTTCTGTATACACAAAGATTTAAACTCAAGAAATGTTTAAGCGATATTAAGTTGTCTACCACTTGAACCAACCATGTTGATTATTTACATATGTTTTATTCTATTATTATTATTCAATATATTTTATTATGAATTTTACAGTTAATCAAATCATGATGTGTTATGCACATCTAACTATAAACAAAAAATGGGATATAGGGGATAAGAGAGAGATAATTAATATTCTATACACGTAAGCTTAAATGAGGGTCATGCATACTTATATAATATTATAAATATAAATATGATTTTTTAATAGTCTAGAGTGATTATATTATAGTATATATTTAAAATATTTCTTAGTTATTAACAACATACACAAACTCACAAATACAACTGTTTCAACCTAGGACTCTAGGAAGAATAACACTTCGCTTAACCACTTAAGTTAATTAATGAATTTTAAATATAAAAGTAATTAAAATATTTATAACAATCATTTACTTATGTTTGTGAAGTTTTTTTTTAATTTTATTATCAATGGATAGAATAATAAAATTGTTTGTATTACGCAAGTCTAAATAATGAGACCAGTTAGTTGGTCCATTAACAATTTCAAACTCATTAGACCGTTTAGAGAGCAAAGCCCAGTTGCGTTGCTCTTTAACCAAGTATCGAAAACTGTTGACTTGCTCAATTAGAATTAATCTTTTGATTGATTCTAAGCTCTCTTTTTATAATTAATACTTTTGGTACATTTTTTCTCTTTTTTCATTCTTATTATAATGGTAAAACTCATACTATCTGTCGGAACAATCCTTAAATTTTTTGAGGTTATAGCGGGGAGTGATCCAACTTAATTTTATAAAATATTGGGTTTTAAAATAAATGCACAAATAAATAAATTTGGAGTCGCCATCGACCTTTGGATTCGCTAGGTCGAATACCTAAAAGTATCATTTAAAATAATTTTAAGAAAAATAACTTTAAAATATAAAAAGTGATATGCGTTTAGCCAGAAACTCATTTTGAAAAGGGTTCGGGAGTCGATTACGCGTGGGGAATGATGAGTACCCCCACAACGCCCAAAATCGGTAGCTAAACGATTATATGGCATCTAAATATTGAAATTTTGCAAATTCGAATATACATTTAGATTATGATCCTATTAGGAAAAATTTCGAAAAGGGAATTACTTCGTACGAACAATCCTAAAAAACACACTCCTTGTCAGTTAAGGCACGTTTTTTTTATAGAAAATAATATTGCTTTAGTTTATTTTTGTGAAATTTACATATTTAATATATTCGAAAAAGTATCGAAAATAAAAAGGATGCAATTTCGTATGAACAATCATTGGAAACACTCTCCTTGTTAGTCAAGACGCGTTTCCATAGATTCTCCTTATGAAACAATATCTTCTTAATTTTTATGCAAAATACATACATTTACAACCAATTAAAGAAGACAATTTCCTAACAAGGGACTAAATTAAAAGGAATCTACATGTAAGAACCAAATTTAAAAGATGAAGTAATCTAAATTACGACAAAAATATTTGAAACCTAAATCTATGGATTCAATTTAAAACAACACATCAAGGGCAAATGAATTCAAAACAGCACAAATCAATGACCAAAATAGAAAAGCACGACAAACATTCAGTGGTTAAAGCGTTAATTTTGCTTTTTGAAACTATATCAAACAAAAATAAAAAGGTAAATTTCGCAAAATAAGGCTGAAACCCGAAATAACCCTAATCAGTGACCGAAAGACAAAAAGATGCTAAAAGCAAATTAAAAAAAATTAGGAAATACCAAATTAAAGAGTACGAAACATGCAAATTAACTCCAAAAAAATGAAAATAAAGAGTAACAAATTAGTTAACATAACAAAGGAAATAAAGTTAAATCAAATTAGAATTTTAATGAAACGACAAAAGGAAAAAGTAAGGAAAATAATGAATTTAATATGTTTTGAAAGAAAATTAAAGAAAGAAGATAAAGTCAAGGAAACATGCTAAATTACGGGAATTGGAAACAATGATAAATAACTAAAATTAGGAAAAGTATAAAGAGGGATTAAATTAAAAGATATCAACAATAAATGTAGAAATTAAAATTCCTATAAGTAAAATATACAAACAAAGCAGGGACTAAAATAAAATCAGGAAAACAATTCAGGGATCAAACAAAAAATATAAACATTCAGTACACTGACCGAATAGAAAATAAGCATTAAATTAAAACGAATTTAAAAACGTAAATTGGTAACCTAAATGTAAAAACATGGAAATATTAAGGACATAAAGCCTAATTTTTCCTTGCAAATGCCTATTAATTAACAGAAGTAAATGGTATATTTCCATAAAAAGGGGATGCAATTCGAGATAAATAATAGAAGAACACAACAGAGGATTAAAATGTAAGAACATGTCGAAAGATAGAGGACCATAACATAATTTTTCACTTTTTTACACCTGGTAATTACTAATATTAAAAAAATGAGAAAAACACTCAATAAGGACAACACATCCGAATTAATTAAAAACAATACAAAACAAATTACCAAAACGAGAATACACGGCAATGGTTCAGGGGTATGAGCGAGAATACCCTAAAAGTAAACACTTAAAACATAAAAACGAGAAATAGCATGATTAGTGCTTGAACATTCAAAGTAAATCATGAAATCAATGAAGGTAGGGACTAATCTAAAAAAATGCACAAAGTACAAGGATCTAAATATAATTAAACCAAAACAAAATCTGTAAAAACATACTTTTTACAATTTCAAGCAAAAAAATTAAAAAAAAAGGAACCCTAGTCACTCTCTCTTCTTTTCCTATTTTCAGTATTCTTAAACCTCTCCCATTTCTCAATCGAAATACATCAAAACCCAGAAACCAACCACCGTCTATGGTGGTCCGACAACCTAAACCTAGCCTAAAATGAAGCCTCTTTGCATCTTTTCCCTCTGATCTATCACCCTTAACCTAGATCCTAAGCTAAAAATCCCCAAACAAATTATCCAAAAACACCATGACTCATTGATTTCTACCTCCGACAAACCCCTAAAACCACCGCGGGCCTTTTGATTTCCTCATATTCCCTTTAAAACCCTTACACAAGCCCTAGATATGCAAAGCCTCTAAGAGTGACACTCTATCTTATTAACTCTTACGACCTAGATCTCGACGAAGGAACCCTAAGATGACATGTTTACTCTCTCCCCTTACCTCTCTATTTTCCATTTTGATTCGAAAACCAAATCAAACACGTCAAATAAATTAAAAAAAGAAGATAAGCTACCTCAAAAATTTTGTTTTTTTATTTCTTTATTGTTGAATCCTTCGTTACAAGATATTTTAAGGGTATTTATACTCGATTTGATTACAAAGAGAAAAATGAACGGAAAAGATATATTTGGTTTTTGATTTTTTTTGCTTGTAGGTGGCCAAAGCGGAGATAAAGCTCTCGGTCAGCGCTGGTGGCATCATCAGCATGGAGTGCTCGGTAGTTCAGTTGTTGAGCGTGTTTTGTGCTGGGCAGCAATAGAGGCGTATAGGCAGAGGGGCATACAATCAACAATGAAATAAGCTCATTCCATTGTAGCACCTCCCAATCGACAAGATTTCTTCTCATAGAAATGTCCCAAAAACAACCTGACGAGTTTGATTTTCCAAAATCGACAATCTTCCCCTCTTTATTATTTGATATAATGAACAATCGAGGAAATCGTTCTTTCAATGAAACTCCATTCAGCCAAGTATCATGCCAGAACAGGATTGAGTCACCATTGTCCGCCTTTATTATAAAGTTACTCTGCAAACATACCCCAAAATCATCATCCGAACATCGACTCTTAATGACACCTTTCCATATCGAAGATGCTTTGTAGGAGGTCAATTTTTCCATCCCTATTGAATTCAGATCAATTTTTTTTATTACAACAAATAATCATTTTCCTCCATGTGTTCTTTTCATTGACAAATTTCCACAACTATTTTCCCAGTAATGCTCTGTTCATAAGCTCTAAATTTGGAACCCCAATCCCTCCCAAAGCCTTAGGCTTAAAAACAGTAGATCATTTTACCCAATGAATTCTGCTTTTAGCACCTAAATCCTCCCAAAGAAATTTTGCGATAATTGAATTAAGCTTCTTCAATACACATCTCGGCATTCTGAAAATTGACATGAAATATATCGGTAGGGAGCAAAGAATTGGATTCCATAATGATATTGAATTTTTCTTCGCTACAAGGGGTAACCCTAAATAATCAATTGGGAATAAACCCACTGTGCACCGTATTGTAGCACCTCACTCACTAATGACCCATTCTTTCACGTTGATTCTGAATAACCTGCTCTTAGATAAATTGATTTGCAATCTAGACATAATCTCAAATATCAGAAGCACCCTCCCATTCTTCAACTCTCCGATCAAAACATTACAAAAAAAATTAATAAATCGTCTACAAATTGGAGGTGAAAAAGCTCAAAGGAATCACCCTGACTTCCAATCTCAAATCCTCTAAACAAGCTTAATCTCATAACTTTAGACAACATCAAACTCAATAATTCACCTACCAAATTAAAAAGGAGAGGAGAAAGAGATAATCCCTATGGAAGACCCCTCACGATCCGAAACTCATCCAAAAGAGAACCATCCACTAAGACCGAGATTGAAGTCGTAAACAGACACATTTTCATCCAAGATCTCCACCTCTGTCCAAACCCCATGCAATCCATGATTTTCAGTAATAAATCCCAATCAATAGAATCATACGTTCTTTTGAAATCAACCTTAAACGCTATTCCTTCAAGGCCTTTCCTTCTCCAATAATCAATCCCCTCGTTCGCAATAAACAAGCAATCTATAATTTGCCTTCCCAGAATGAAAGCAAATTGGGAAGGGCCAACAACTGCTTCCATACATTACCGTAATCTCGTAGATAACACCATTGACAGAATCTTGTAAAGCCCTCCCACTAGGTTAATCGGTCTAAAGTCCTCAACACTTTCCGAACTTGACTTTCTCGAGATAAGGGTAATGAAAGAATGATTTACCCCTTTGTCTCATCTTTTCCACTCATAAAAATCACTGAAAAACCTCAAGATGTATTTTTATGTTTGAACATAACTTTTTGAAAAATCACATTGTCGATCCATCCGGTCCCGGAGCCTTATTACTATCCGAATACAATATTGCTTCCCAAACTTCTTCCTCCGAGAAAGATCTTTCCAAAAATGAATTTTGCTCCTCTGAAATCTTGGAGAAATTGAAATCCAAACCTCTACCTCAACTGTAAGATTCCTATTATAAGCTTATTTGAAAAAATTACTACATTTGATTTAATATCGTTAGGATACATCGTTAATTGACCACCCACTTTTAGAGCTTTAATAGTGTTCACCCTTCCTCTATTTGCAGCACACATATGAAAAAAAATCTTGTGTTGCGATCACCCTCCAAACACCATTTTGACACGTGATTTTTGTAACCAAACCATCTCTTCTTTTTTGTATAGATATCAAAGCTTCCTTCTAGCCATACCCAAAGATTCTATAAAGACAGAAGAGGAACCTTGCTGTATGTCGAGTTTTGAATCATGTATATATTTTTCCAGCTCCGAGATGGATCCTTGCATTTTACTAAAACTGGCTTTAGACCACTCTTTGATTGCCGCTTTAGAACTTTTTAGTATACTCGAAATCCCTTTTCTTCTATTGCCCATCATTGTTTTCTGGAATTCCTCCACCATTCTTTCCTTGAAACCCTCCTCCTCTAGCACGTAATTGAACAATCTAAATGGTTTCGGCTCCCAATCCAAACCTTTACCTTCTATACTAATTACATTGTGGTCTGATAAAGATCTAAGGAACAAACTTGGATTTAACGATGGAAACACTGACAATAAATTTGAATCTACCAGAAATTTGTCCAATAACAAAAGTAAAAATTCTCTATTGTTACTCCAAGTGAAGTTGCCACCCGAAAAAGGGAGATCATTCAGGATAACCCTAAGCACAAACTCATTAAATATTCTCATCGAGAACATGTTTTAACCTATCCCCATTTCTCTTCTTGTGACAAATATGCATTAAAGTCACCTCCCAAACAAATGGGACCATCCAATTGCAACACAAAAGGCAACAACGCCTCGAAGAATGATTCTTTCTCTGAATCCACTGATGGCCCATACACATTAATAAACCAACATTTAACATACAATTCTTTTAGATTACCTTTAACTACAATAATCCTCTCCTGAACATGTTCGGCCTCCACCTCCATTTTGCTTACGTCCCATAGAGTTATCAATCCCCCTGCTGACTCAATCGCATGAGAAGCCACATACTCGCTCAATATATTCCCTCCTAATCTCCTTAGTAATGAATGATTGATATTCACCACCTTTGATTCTTGAATAAACATCAACATTGTTTCTTCCCTAAAATAATATTTCTCACAACCCTTGACTTTTTTCTTCTTTCCATTCCCCTATTCCATGATAAAATACTTAAACTTGATATAGAAAGAAAGAAAAATACCTAGTACCCACAAAAAATCATATTCCACCCCTTCCTGAAGTGGATGCCTGAAGAACCAAGGTAGGGGGAAATGAAACAAACGACAAGGTTTTATAGGAGGAGAAAGGTTAGAAGTGGGCCAGTTTCAGTAGTGTAACAATATCAGGGCTTACATGAGCATAATTGAAACATTTATCATTAATGTATATGTTGTTGTAGTAGCATATGCACCACTTGCTTTACATTACACACATTATTTCTAAAGGAAAGGATGCTCCTCTATGTGCTTCAGTCATTGTATAGTGATTGTATGTATGTGCATGCATGAAATAATAGTTAAGAAGGGAGAATACTTGCTGATGGGAGTAATAATTGAGTGAGGAATGTCTTAAAGACAAAACGAAAGATGGAAATTGAAAATTGGTGCTGGGGTCAACCTCAGGACAATTTTTTATACTTCAAGACTCCAGCAAGGAATAAGGCCTTGTGCATGATGATGCGATGAAACCCGGTTTTAAAAGATAAACCATTAAATTAAGCATAGTTCTGTCAAAAAAAATTGATTATAAAGAAGATGGCTCATTAAGCACTTCAATTTACTATGGTTCATAATACTGCAGTTATCAGTTTAACATCAGATGCCTAAATGCCAGCAAACTTAGTTTAGTACTTTCCCTTGAATTGCTTTTTATCAGACATAGGTTATGGCAGACATTGACTAAACAACACTGCAGAACAGGTAGCTTGGAATCTACTTTGGGAATTGTTTAGTGTCTCTTAGAAGGTTATCCATGTTGTTATATTTTTTCATTAGATATCATCTATTGTCTTTTTTTTTAACTTCTATAAGTGCTTAAAGTACCTTTCTGGAGTAGTATGATTTATACTTAAACTAGGTAATGACAATATCTTAAATAGCACACAATAAGTTGTTTGTTGATGATGATTAATTAATACATTGCAGCTAATCTTTATCCCCTCAAGGCCCGTTTCAAACAAGATAAGGGAGACAATAATTAAAAGGAAGATTATATGAAAAAAAGTCTCGGCAAATCTCAGAAGCAGCAAACTTGCAAATACATTGTTTTCTGCTCTATGTTAAGGGAGTACAACAATGATGTGTTTGATGTATGTGCACGTATGCAAAATGATGAAAAATATTATATTTGGAGCTACAGAATTCCTTTAACATTCCTATGTTCTAGTCATAGCAGATTGTTGATGCCTTATTCCCTTCCTGGCTAGGCTTAGCCGATGTCGTCTGCAGCAAAGTTATGCCCCACCTTCTATGCGTGTGATGAAAGATGAACTTTGCCCTGCTCGCCGATGTTGGTGGTACGGTCCATTCAGGAACCATCCATGATGGCAAATGATTGTCGAAAATTAACTATGTGAAATGTTATCATTAGGGGTATTTATCGTAAGTTGGGTAGTGTTTGACTCCTGCTCATTAAAAAAATTTGCTACTCGACTGTTACTCGTTAAGATTGTGCTCGACTCGTGCTTGTTAAAAAAGATTTGCTGCTCAACTTGACTCGTTGATCATTAAGCTCACTAAAAAAATTACCTTATTTTTAACTAAAAATAAAATTTACTAATACTATATGGGATATTAGGGTTGAGTTTTTTTTATTAAAATAATATTATTAATTAATAATATTTATTATTATTAAAAATAATAGATTAGTTAACTTATTATTTTTTATTTTTATTAATAAATTAATAATTATTATCTAGATTTATTTTTTAAATGAAATAATTTTGAAGTAATTACTAAAAATATATTTTCAAATATATACCGAGAGTTAGATTTTGCCCGGCTCAGCTCGTTAAGGTCTCGAATCGAGTTTGAGTTCGAGTCGAGCCAACTCGAGTCGAGCGTTTACCGTGTTTTGACCGAGTCGAGTTCGAGCTGCTCAACTCGTTAAGCACCCCTTGTTATCATATTGAAATGTTAGGAAATATAACGAGAACAAGTAATTTCCCTATAGCCAGATTAGTGAGAATACGAAATAAAAGCGGAAAAATAATACCCGAAAAATTGATAACGGAGTTCAGCCAATTGTGCTTACGTCTCCGGACTGCTGCAGATCTTTTATTGAAGAGAAAAATTACAAGTGTTTACAAAACACACTTGAGAGAGAACTGGAAGATTTTGGGATGATTTTGAAGCTAAATGAGCTAGGGTATTTATAGTTGAAACTTAGGGACTAATCTTTGAAAATACCCTAAAGTACAATGACTAAATGTGTGATTTACCCTTGCCCAAATTCAACAAAACACAACAGCCCCTATTTTTGAATTCAACCGGCTGCCATCTAGAATGGCAGCCATCTAGAATTTCAACAATCTCCCACTTGAAGACTGATTTTAATCTGTCTTCACACCTTGATCGATGCAGCAGTATTTCTGGTCTTTTATTCTAGCATGCCAACTGAAGCTGAACACAAACTTCAGTTTGTCCGTTGTCACCGTCTTTGTCAACATGTCTGCCGGATTTGAGCTCCACTGATCTTTTCAAGTTTCAAAATCCCATCTTCCAGAAGAGACCAGATAAAATGATATCGCAATTGTATATGCTTTGTCCTGGAATGAAAAGACGGATTCTTCGCTAGATGGATAGCACTTTGGCTGTCGCAATACAAGACATTGTTTTCTTGTTTCTTGCCTAACTCTTCCAAGAAAATGGAGCCAAACCATCTCCTTGCTGGCTTCCGTAACAGCGACATATTCTGCTTCGGTTGTAGAGAGAGCAACTATATTCTGTAGTTGAGAAACCCAACTCACTGCAGTTCCTCCTAGAGTATAACATACCCTGTAGTGCTTCTTCTGATGTCGACATTTCCGGCTAAGTCAGCTACATAGCCTGTCAGTATCGTATCTCCACCTTTGAAACAAAGTGCTTTGTTTGTAGTACCCCGTAGATATCTGAGGATCCATTTGACTGCTTCCCAGTGTACCTTGCCCGGATTATTCATGTACCTGCTAACAGCTCCCACTGCTTGAGCAATATCTGGTCTGGTACAAACCATGGCATACATCAGACTTCCAATTGCTGAGGCATACGGCACCTTCACCATGTGTGCACGTTCTTCCTCCGTCTTTGGTGACTGTTTTGGAGAGTTTAAAATGAACACCTAAAGGTGTACTTACTGGTTTAGAATCTTGCATGTTGAATCTGGAGAGTACTTTGTTGATGTACTCAGCCTGTGATAACATCAAAGTCCCCGACTTTGTGTCTCTCTTGATCCTCATCCCAAGAATCTGCTTTGCAGCGCCCAGATCTTTCATTGCAAATTGTTTCGACAATTTTTGCTTCAAGTTTATGATCTCTTGCATGTTTGAGCCTGCAACAAGCATGTCATCAACGTAAAACAATAAAATAATGAAGCTATTGTCGA